GAGGCCTGATACAGGGCACGCGCTCCTGTGGCCTGTCTTGTGCCTCGAGAAGAGATGGGGCCTGGTTCCTTGGAACCTCCTGTGGGGCCCTACGGAGCTCACAAACTTGTCCTAAGGTGTCCACCGCTGGCCCTGCCCTGGGCTTGGGGATGCAGCGAGGAATAAGACGCACCCTAGGACAGTGATGGCAAACTATGACATGCGTGTCAGAGGTGACACGTGAACTCATTTTTTTGGTTGATTTTTCTTTGTTAAATGGCATTTAAATATATAAAATAAATATCAAAAATATAAGTCTTTGTTTTACTATGGTTGCAAATATCGAAACATTTCTATATGTGACACGGCACCAGAGTTAAGTTAGGGTTTTTCAAAATGCTGACACGCCGAGCTCAGAAGGTTCAGCATCACTGCTCTAGGACACAGCACAGGAAGCACCCTAGCTAACACTCCTTGGCCTGACAGAACTCACCTGGGCCTCCATGTTTGCATAAACTGGCTTATTCTCCTGTTTGTCCCCCCTCGCGGCCCCCCCATTACCCTATTCTGTTTGCTTTTGGATTCCAACTACCATGCCATGTATTACCTGTGCCAGTTCAACTTACCTGGCTACAGCCTCAAGATTCCCCCTGTACCTGGGCCTCTTTCCCAACAGGTTGGACTTGCCTTGGGCTACCTACAGGCTCTTGGTCCTGGACAAGGGCCTCCAAATTGCAGCCCCCCAGCTCCTTGTCCCCCCCTCAGCAGTAGCTTGGGGCTATGGACACCAACCTTCTTGGGAATGGGTTGCATTACCTCAGAAGTATCTTCTCAGCTTTCATCCCTCTCTCTGACTCTATGTCCCATGTCCTTTGTGTACAAAGAGGCTACTGTGGAATAGTTCTAGTTTGGTTGGTTGGTAACTGGATGAGAAAAACAACAAACCCTTTGGATCTCTCTGGTGATTTATAGCTTTCAAAAACATTATCTGCCCTCGCCGGTTGGGCTCAGTGGATAGAGCATCGGCCTATAAGGGTCCCAGGTTCGATTCCAGTCAAGGGCATGAATCTGGATTGTGGGCTGGATCACTGGTTGGGGTGTGTGCAGGAGACAACCAATCCATATGTTTCACTCACATCGATGTTTCTCTCTGTCTCTCCCCCTCCCTTCCACTCTCTCTAAAAATCCTTTGGAATCTCAATCCCTGGTTCAGTTTCCCCCTTTCCAATCCTGTAATCAGACTTGGCATAGAGCCTTTGGGTGCTGTGTCCCCAAAGCACGGAGGCTTGAGCTGTTTGTCCCTGAACTGCCATAGTTGGCCTCAGGGTTCTGCAAGTCACAAACCGCTGGATAAAATGTGCTTGCCCACGGCCTGGAGGTGACACAAATACGATGTCTGCGATCTCAATCCAAAAATCTCCTATCTTTTCCAAACATTTGGACCGTTTCACCCCAAATCAGCAAGCTTTGAAGTATCCGGAGCTGTTCATGCATAAATAACACAAAACATGGTACTTTTTAGAACATTTATATTTATATATAAAAATTAAATATATATAATATATAGTGTGTTTGAGACTAAAAATATAGTACATAATATTTTTTAAAAAAGGAAAATGAAAAAAAGGCAGAATAGGAAAAGTTGTGAAGGACACACAGATACACATTGCTAAAAATCTACGATGGTCTGTCCTAACAAAAATATTTTTCTCTCTTCTTTTAATTATCATGGATCCATTTAGTATTGGGGTTCGGGTGGGGAAAATTCTTTTGGAGCCAGAAATGGAGGTTGTAACCCCAAGAATGGTTGGGATAGAAAATGTGACCACAGGGGGCCCTGGATCTCTTTCTGGTGAAATTGGAAGCAGCCCAATCTTCTGAGTCACTATTGCTAACGAGAGTGAGCGGAGAGTTTGACTGTACTGGCACCTGGGCTGCTCTCTCCCGAGTTGGGGGTATTCACAGGGGCAGCATCTCAAGATCTCCAGAAGCTCACAGAGGAGCCCATGGCCCCCCCACACTTGACAAGACCACCGGCTGGGCCATCACAAAGCCAGCAGGGGGCAGAAGACTGGTAAGAATGAGTGAGTTACATGCAAACAGAGTTGTTTTTAAGAGCAGGCTTGTACCGGAACCACCAATATGCACAGCAAATGTCTCCGGGAGCAGGCCCTGGCCCTCACAGTGATGCAGGACAATGGGATTCTGTCCTCTCCTCAAGGCCAGAGGTGAAAGGTCAGGACAAGCTGACCAAGGTGAGGCCTTTCAGGAGGCTGGCCTCCAGGAGGCGAGAGAAAGAGGGAGGGGGAGCTGGGGAGGGAAGGCAGAGAGAAGGGAATGGGATATTTAAATGCTAATTTTATAGCCTCCTCACAAAAATAAATAAATGCCTTCCCAATGGCATCCCTGGGTCTGTGCACTTCATTATCACTTCCTCGCTGGTCCCCCGTGGCCAGGGGCTTCACAGATGCCTTCCTAGTGAGTCCCCAGCATGCGGTGGCCTGCAGAGGCAGGGCAGTCCCCTGGCCGGCACACAGGGCACTGAAGTGGCAGAGAAGCCAGGACTCTGAGGCGGGCCTTGGCAGTGTAGCAGTGGGGCAGTGTCCACACAGCAGAGAGGCAGTAACTAAGCCAGTTTAGTCCAGCTGGGGTCTTGGTTTTAACAGCATTTTCTGCAAACCCCATAGTGACAGACTACTTGATTCCATTTTAAGGAGCCCAGGACTTGAGGCTGGAACAGAGTGCCAACTGGTTAAGGAGAGGGCCCGGGGGCAGAGGCCCCAGGGCCGTGTGCTCCACCCTGGAAAGCAGGAAGGCTGCCTCAGTGATGCTGGGTGAGAAGACACAGCGCCAGGAGGCCTGGAGACGGTGGTCAAACCGATCATTCCATCCCAAGCAAAACAACAGCACTGCTCTAACCCCTGGCCACTTCCTTTCTGACTTAAGGTTTTTGCTTAATGCAAACTCTGTGGGTGGGCTGAGGGGTCCAGGATTTAGTGGTCCACGAAGAAACAGTGGCTCACCCAGCAGCACAAGAACCGCTTCCAGATCCAGAATTTGTCAGAAGTGCTGACAAATTTGAAAAAGAGCACATCTCCCCCCACCCCCCGGAAGGTGGCCGGCCAGTGCCCTGTGTGTCGGCCACATGCCCTTCCCACAGGCCCCGCCACAGAGGGCTCAGCTGTCCTCAGGCCTTGCCCCCAGTCCCCACACCTCAGCCTGCAGGCTTCCCCTTGTAAGTGGTCGCTGGGCAGGAAAATGCCTCCCTTGCTTGGTACCCAGGAGGCCCCAGTGAAGGTTAAGGGACAGCGAACAGTGAAGCGGCTCTGTCTCAGGCCTCAGAAGATGAATGCTCCCTCAACACCAGCTGAGTGACCCAGTGACCTGGGCCCCCTCCTCTCCATCATTTCAACAGAATGGGCCCAACACTGCAACTGAAAAGGGGGGAACAGGAGAATCTGACCAAACCCCAAACAAAAACGACTGTTGGAATATTCCTGTTTAACAGATCACCCCCCGCTTTTGGATTCTGTAAATCATCAAGATGCATGAATTTGCGGAGGAACCCGCATCCTTAACAGGCCTTCTCACTGAGCTCACACGCCAGGACTGCGCAGGGCAGTGTCAGCTTCCGGTGGGGGGGTACGGGTAGGAGCCTGGACGTTTCCAAGAGGGCAGGTCGCCAGGGCTCGGGCCCCTCCTGGAGGCCAGAGGCCAGGAATGTCACTCACAGGCCCATCCAAGGGTGCCGATGGCCCGTGGCCGATGGGCGCGTAACTCATGAAAGCGAACTTGATCATGAATGGCGACCACGAGAAAGGCCGAAGCGCATTCTGGGCATCACACAGTAGGCCCCACCTGTGTCGTAGGGCTGAGCGAGTTGGGGTGCACTCCAGGCCCTGCTCTGGGGAGGGGGAGGTCCACACGGGTTTTCTTTGGAGTGCTGGTTCTCTTTGGTTAGCAGGCGGCGGCTGAGAGCCATGGGGACTGTGTGCGTGTCAGCATGGGCCACGGCTGCCTGCAGTGCCCTCTGAGCCACCTAACCCAGTCGGCCCTGCCTTTTACCAGGCGCCCTGACCCCTCTCTCCCCTAAAATCTGCCAACACTTGTCAGTGTCTGGGGCTCAGAATGCCCCCTCCCTGCAAGTCTCCCCCACAGGGCCGGCCAACCCGAGCTCAAGGCACTGCAAGCGGAGGAATAGGATTGATCCAAGAGGGGAAAAAAGACGCTTAAGCAAAGCCTGTGTGAAGAGCACATCTCCCCCCACCCCCCGGAAGGTGGCCTCCAGGCAGCCGTGGGCTTGGGCTGGTACCGGGTGTCTGAGAGCCAGTCCCCTCCCTAAGCCTGTCGGAGCCCATCCGCAAGCCAGGTCTCGCCACGGGATGTTTAAAAACAGAGTCAAAGTGCTCGGAGACAGAGGAATGGTCGGTGCCAGGGATCTGGTGGAGAGCAGGTGCCCACTCCTTCCCACGGGGACTTCTATTTGGGCGGGGGACCCCCTACAGCTTTATTACCTTTTTCCCCCAAATGAGATGTTTATTGTTGTTGGGGTTTTGTTTTGTTTTTCTTTGAAAAAAATAGCCTACAGTACTGCTTCCCTCTCACCCACATCTCCCCAGGCAGGAATTCAAACCAGGAAGTGGGGCAGACTGGGGAGAGAAGGGGCGTGGGTGGGCTCCCCTGGCGTGGGTTCTGGAAACTGCTAGGTCACTCACAGTCGTCTTGCTGGTGAGTCAGGACATGGTCCCTGGCCTTTCCTTCTTCCACGGTGACCCCTGACATGTCTGGCCAGCCCAGCACAGGGAAGGAAAGGGGGCAGCTATGGGGACACCTGGATCCCCCTGTAGACTGACAGACGGGCGTCCGCAGTGGGCAGCCGGGATGGCGGGCATTTTCATCTCACTGGAGGAGGGCTGGATTTGAACTCAGTGCCAGGGCTGTTCTCTAGACAGAGGTAAAATAAACCCCAGGGCCGTTCTGTAGTCCTGAGGCGGGGGGGGGGGGGGGGGGGGGGGGGGGGGGGTACACGGGGTATAAATGCAGATGACAGAGGACGGGCCAGGCCATCCTGCTTCCACCTCTATGTGCCAGCGCCACTCACCCTCCACTGCATGTCCCCAGGCCAGAGCCCACCACTCCCACAGGAACCCCCTGCACGCCCGCCCGCCCGGGAGACCAGAGGGGCGGGATGGGGAGGGATAGGAATGCCAAAAAGTGCCCCCTCCGCTCTCCACAACCTTCACCCTCCCCGGCCCCACCCCCTGGGGGCGGGTCAGAGACACACCCTCCCGCGGCAGAGGGAAGGGCGGGCCCAGGAGGCTGGGCAGCACCTCGGGTGGGTGTTTCGGGGGAGACCTGTCCCCCACCTGCCACGGCGGAAGGAGGACGGCTGGTCGGGGACAGGAGCGACGAGCAACGCCCCTGAATATCAGGGAACCGCGTCTGCTCTGCCCCGCAGAGACGCCCGCCCGCCCCTTCCCCGCGACGCGGTCCCCGCGGGCTACACGTGCGTCTGCATGCGCTGCTGGAAGCGCTGGCCGTAGTCCGAGTGCTGCGACGTGTAGGAGAAGCGCGTGGCCGTGGCGTACTTGCCGATGGGGTCGTAGGCCTCGAAGGGGGTCCGCTCCAGGCCGGAGGGGGGGCCCTGGGGGTAGCCCAGGCGGTAGGTGGGGTACCCCGTCGCCCCGGGGAAGGGGTGGGAGCTGTAGTTCTCGTAGGACAGCTGGCTGGCCGTGTCGGCGCCGGCGGGCGCGGCGGGGCCGGGGGCCGCGGGCTCGGGGTAGTCGGCGGCGGGCGCGCGGCTGTAGGTGCTGAGCTGCGCGTAGCCGCTCGAGTGCGAGAGGCGGGAGGACGGGCGGCCGTCGAAGCGGGCGGGGCCGGGGGCGCGGTAGTCCGCGTAGAGCACCGCCCGGGAGGACGGCCGGTCCTCGTGGGCGCGCACGTTGTAGTAGCCATTGGTGGGGTCCTGGGCAGTGGGAGAGGCGGATGGAGGGCGCCCCCCTGGCGGCGGGGTGTCCTACCTCGCCGTGGCCCTGGGGGCTTCCTCGGATCGCCCCTGTGTTCCCAGCAGATACCTCCTGCCTCCCCTCTCCGACCTGCCCTCCTCCCCATCCTCAGGCCCCAGGACCCTCCGCCCCCCCAACCCCCTGCACCCCAGCCCTAGGGCCCGGCCCCTTCCCCCTTCCCACCTTCATTTCATACTCCTCCCGGGTGTCGATGGTGTCACAGCGCAGGTCCTGCTTCAAGTCCACGTCGTCCTTGAAGGACTGCAGAGCAGCAGGAGTGGGCATTAGGAGTCCGGCTCTTACCCCCCACGCAGCCCATCCCCACCCCCCAGAGGCCATCCTTAATGGGAAAGGCCGGGGTCCTGGGTGGGCTTGAGGCTGGTACCCCCGCCCAGTGAAGACTTGAGATGTGGTGGGAAGAAGCCAGAGGCCTGGGCTCTAGCGCAGTTCTGTCACTAACACACAACGGGATCCGGCTCGCTCGTTGCCCCTCTCAGGGATCCAGCAATGAGGCAGTTGGAAGTGAAAAATTCTAGGGGTTTCAATTCTGACACTGCAGGGAAAGGAGGAGGCAAAGGAAGTCTAGGGGCCCCCCCCGCCTAGCTTCTGCTGGTGGGAAATGTGCATGTGCGTGTGTGTGTGTGTGGACCAAGGCCAGCTGACCAAGGGAGGAGCGAGGGGCAGTGGTTATTAGAGAACTGGGGGGGAGGGGGGGGGCAGTCCCAGGAGTGTGACGAGGGGAGTGGGCCAGGGCAGGGCAGGCCCCTTACTGAGTAGATGGCTTTCATGACGCGGGTGGCTGTGGAAACGCTGGCGGTGTCATCCTCCCGGTCAGAGTGCATGGTGAGTGGCTCACGGTTCACCGTCTCCACCTTGATGTCCAGTTTCCTGAGGGTCACGTCCTTGCGACCTGGGACAGGGGAGACGGCCTGGACGCTCGCTGCCAGCCTCACAGGGGTGATTTCTGGGCCCACCTTGACTGGGAAGTGCAACTGCCACACCCCGGGCCCCTCGGCGCGAGGCCCTGCCTCTGGAGGCCTGGGGTGGGCGGGGAGGGCCGGGCCACGGGCCATACTCACTGCCTTTGCGACGCCGGTAGAGGAAGAACACCAAGGCCACGAAGGAGAAGGTGAGCAGGATGCCCGCGCCGATGGTGGCTCCGGCGATGATGCCCACAGGCAGCACCTCTTCAGATGAGAAAGGAAAGGAGCCGGTAAGGACAGAGCCTCACCTCCCTGGGGCTCTGAGCTCAGTGCTGGCCGAGGACCAGGCTGGCCACAGCCGCAGGCTCCCCTGGATTGTGCTGGGGTTGCCTTACGTAAAGGTGGGATTTTAGAGGAAGGCCTGCATTGTGTTTGGGTTTGGGCCAGAGCTTAAGCTTGAGCAGAGTGGAGGGCGTGGTGATACCTTATCCTAGCTTCTGGGGCATCCCCTCCACCCTGGCCTTGGTGGTCCGGTCCGTCTGTCCCTCTCCTGTCCCCCCTTCCTATGAGCCTTGGTCTCTCCCTGCTGGCTGGGCTGTTTGAGGTCAGCTGTCTCCAAACTCTCCCATCTGCCACCTGTGTTCCGACCTCCTCCACCACCTCAGCATCGGGAAGGCCCCCTCTGCACCCACCCACCATCCAACAGCCCACTTTGGTTCCCTGCCCCCCAGAGCTGAGAAGCACCTGGGACTCTGACTCCAGCTTTCTCTCCCCTTCCGGAAGTCCTGGATGGGTCAAGGCCCCTCCTCTGCAGAGCCTGGCCTGCTGAGCTCTGCCTTACTCTCTACTCTCTTCCTCCACCACCTCCTTGCTGGCACCTTCAGCTGAGAACTGATGGATCCTGTTATTCCCATCTCCCATGTCAAATGGCTAGTTATATATGTGTGTGTGTATATATACTGAGTGGCCAGATTATTATGACCACCCCATCAGTACTGCGTTGGGCCACTGTTTGCCTTCAATACTGCGGCGATTCTTCTTGGCATTGACTCCACGAGATGTTGAAAGGTGATTCGAGGAATCGGACACCATGCCTGATGAATAGCACTGTCCAGTTCTGTGAGATTTGATGGCTGTGGAACCAGCTGCCTGATGGCTCTTTTAACTTCGTCCCACAAATGCTCAATTGGATTGAGATCTGGTGATTGTGGGGGCCAGCTAAGCAAGGTAAAGTCTCCCTCATGTTCTTGAAACCACTCCTGCACAATATGAGCACCGTGGCATGGCGCATTGTCTTGTTGGAAGAAGCCGTCTCCATTGGGATATGCCATCAACATGATAGGATGAACCTGATCAGCAACGATACTTAGGTATGTTGTGCTATTCAGACGTTTATAATGGTCTGGCCCTCTAGCAACTTCAGCAGGAAATTATAGCTAATTTGCCTACAAACATCAGGTGGTCATAATAATCTGGCCACTCAGTGTGAGTGTATATATATATATGCCTTTCTCCCTCTTCAGACATAAAAACTTCCAAAAAGGTCAAAGGTAATGCCTGTTGTTGTTATACTAGAAGTGCCTCGGGGGAGGGAACGTGTCTCCCATCAGACTAAGGATCCTTGAGGAGGTGGGGAACCGGAACTCCCTGGGCATCTGTCCTATGCCAGGTATTTTATAAATATTCTGTCCTGTAATCCTCACACCAACCCAGTGAGGTAGGCTGTTCCCTTTCACAGATTACTTGACATTCCTCCAGCTGAAGTCATTTGCTGCCACTGCGTAAGTTCCTCCACTAACGTTCCTGAGGGCAGGGACCACGTGCACATTGGTCCCTGCAGCCCTAGCCTGGGGCCTGGCATATAACAGATGCACAACACACATTTCAAAAAGTAAGTGGCTTTCCCCCGCTAGGCAATAGGCCAGGCTCCAGTGGGGAGGCCCACGCCAGTGATCTCCCTCTGAGCCCCGCCCCGGGAGAGAGGAGGGAGCAGGACCCCAGGCCGTCCGGCGCCCCGGCCACCAGCCAGCACCGCTGTCACCTCGCTCCTCCAGCTGGATGATGGCGGTGCCCGGCCCGAAGCTGTTCCAGGCAGTGCAGTTATAGTGGGTCTGAAAGTCGGCCTCCATGACGTTGTTGATGGTGAGTGTGGACAGCACCCCGCTGCCGGAGTTGGTCCTCTCCACAGTGTAGCGTTCCAGGGTCCCCACCTCCAGGAAGTTCTCCTTCCAGGCCCACGCCTGTGGGGAGGACAGGAGGGTAAGAGAGGGGCAGGAGGTCAGAACACCTCACCCTTCCTCAAGGCGTGTGCCCTGTGTGCCACACAGCCCAGCCCAACACACCCTGCCACAAGCCTAAGTCACTCTGACACCCACTGCCTCAGACCTAGGCATTGAACCTCCAGTCCAGGAGGAGTAGTGGCTTCCACACATGACTGAAACGTATGCCAGAGACATTCAGACATACCTAGGGACGTTCTTTAAAATGCCCATTCCTGGGACTTATCTCCTAAATAGGAACCTCTTTTTTTTTTTTTTTTTTAATCCTCACCCAGGAATATCTTTATTGATTTTTAGAGAGGGAGGGAGAGAGAAACATTGGTGTGAGAGAGAAACTTCGATCGGCTGCCTCCCATATGTGTCCCTACCAGGGGTCAAACCCGTAAACTCTTGGTGTGCGGGCCAATGCTCCACCCAACGGAGCCACTCAGCAAGGGCGGAATCGGTGGGGTTTTTTAAAATATATTTTATTGATTTTTTTACAGAGAGGAAGGGAGAGAGATAGTCAGAAACATCAATGAGAGAGAAACATTGATCAGCTGCCTCCTGCACACCCCCCACTGGGATGTGCCTGTAACCAAGGTACATGCCCTTGACCAGAATCGAACCTGGGACCTTTCAGTCCGCAGGCCGACGCTCTGTCCACTGAGCCAAACCGGTTAGGGCAGAATCGGTGTTTTTATAAGGATCCCATGCAATGTATGTGACGTGGGTGCACCATCTGGGGACCCCTGATGTTGTAGAAAAAGCCCTGGGTGGGGGAGTCAAGAACACGGCGCTCCCTGTGGGTCCCCATGTGGCCTCCCTTCCCTCTCCGCTGTTTCCTCACCTGTGACGTGAGGGGACCAGACTGGACAACAAGGTTTCTTCCACATAAGCCAGTCCTTCAATTGTACCCTAACCCAGAGCCAACCCCGCGCAAACCTGCCACTGCCTCGGGACACCCAGCCACAGACGCTCATAAAGAGCTCTCACAGGAGAGGGGGTCCCAGGCTCCTTCACCCCTGGGCTCCCGGAGGGCAGTCCCCATGTGTCCCCTCCCCCCGAGGGGAGCGTGAGGGGTGGTGCTGGCCGAGAACTGGCTCCCGTCCAGGATCAGCTGTCCCCACTTGGAAGCAAAGCCCCCGGGAGCGGGGCCACTCCTGGTTCGGCAGCCGTGGTAATGAAGTGTCCCTGGGCAGCCCTGCAGGCAGCCAAATGGTTATTAAATGTGATGAGGGGTTTGACGGTTAATGGCCACGGAAGAAATTAATGGCTCATGGTGTGGGGAAGAGGAGGAGGGGGGTGGTGTGGGAGCTGGTGGAGAGGAAGGAGAAGGGAGGGGAGTGGCTGTGGGACGGGGTGGGAAGGAGAGCTGCTGGGCAGGGCTGAGAGGAGAGGCAGAGGAGGGAGCAAGGAAAGATCAGGAGGAAAGGAAGGAGATGAGGGAGGAGAGCAAGAGTGGTTCATTGGTTCAGCATCGACCTATGACCCAGAAGGTTATAGGTTCGATTCCCAGTCAGGGCACATGCTGGTTGCAGGCTCAATCTCTAGTGTGAGGCATGCAGGAGGCAACCGATCAATGATTCTCTCTCACCATTGATGTTTCTATCTCCTCCCTTTCTGAAATCAATTAAAAAATAAAATAAAAGAGTGGTGCCTGGGGAACTGACCATGAACCTCGAGAGGGCGCCCTCTGGCCTTCCACCCCTGCTGTCCTGCTGTCCTGTTACTTGTCACGTGCCCCATGTTAGGGTGATTCTGAGGTTCAAACGCTAAGCAATTGGATCAGGGTCACACAAGTCAGAGAGGTGGTGGGAGCGTCTGTGGCTGGGTCTCCGAGGTCAGAGCAAGGAAAGGGACAGAGGGACCTAAAGTTGGAGGACCGGAGAGCAGGTGCTGACTGCCCCACGCCCCGTGCGTCCCAGCACTCACAATTCGGTCTGGGGGAGGTGTGCTCCCGATGAAACACTCCACCTTGCCGCCGTCTCCCCTGACAGCGTACTGCACGGCCTCGCTGGAGATAATGGGGGGCCCTGCAAGCAGAAGACGCAGTCAGGGTCAGCTGGGAGCCGCAGCACCTGCCCCCCGGGCCCAGTCCCTCGAGGGCCACTCACCGTTCACGTAGAGCGGCACCTCCCGCTCGGCCACTCCAATGCGGGGCACGATGGCCCGGCAGGTGTAGGTGCCGGCGTCTGCCTGGGTCACCGACTTCAGCAGCAGCTGGTTGCTGTTACTCAGCACCTGGGCAGAGAGAGCAGCCTCGGGTGGGGAGCCAGGAGGCCTGGGCCCCTAGGTCCGGGGGGGCCCCGCATTGGATGTATTGGAGAGAAAGCAGGAAGGGCCACAAGTGAGTTCCCAGAAGGGAGGCAGGGTCAGGAGTCTGTCTGGTCCCTCCCCCGGCTCTAAACAGGTTGGCATTTAAACACACCAGCGCTACACGGGCAGACAGAGGCAGGTGGGCCAGAGGGCGATGAGGTCACAGAGGATGCGTCTCTCCGATGATCTGCTCTAGTGACAACTTCACCCTGAAGTCCCTCTTCTGCCCCAACTGCTCAATGCCGGTCTCTGGAGGGCTGTGAACTCAGCCTTTCCCTCTCCCGTGACCTCTCCAGCCCCCCACCTTGGATGCAGCCTTCGCCACATCCTTTGCCAGCCCAGCGCCTCCCCTCAGGCCCTCCCCCTCCTCCCACACACGCCAGCAGGCCCCTCCCAGGGCCCCTGAACCGGACAGTTGTTCTTGGAGGAGGGGTGGGAGTTGAGCGCAAGCACTGTCCTTGTCCTCTAAGTCCCAAGACCTTAGAAATAGCCCAAGTTCGACTTGAAAACGAATGCTGCCCCTCCCTAGATAGCTCTTGCCTCCCAGCACCCTGGAGAGGCAGCAAGGGGCTTACCATGTTGGAGTCCTTTTTGGTCCAGGTGAGGGTGAGGGGGGGATTCCCAACCCAGACACAGGTGAGCGTCACATCAGAGCCAATGTCCGTAGTCGTAGGTTTAGGGTCAACCACAATCCGGGGGGCGACTGAGGTAGAGGGCAGCGGTCGTTAGGGTCTCGGTGCCATGGGGTCAGCTCCAATCAGCGGCCTTCTCTTTCTCGGCCCTGCTACCCCCCCCACCCCCCGCCCCGCGTTTCTTCCCCGTCTCCTCAGCCTCATGGAGCCTCCCCACTCCACCCAGGCCCTTTATAGGCCTCTCCCTCCGCCCCAGGTCCCACCCGGCCCTCTGCCCCCGCCCCTGTACATGCAGCTACTCACAGTGGACATTCACTAAAGTGCTGACATTGGTGCTGCCCACTTTGTTGTAAACCTCACAGGACACAGGCTCCGTGAAGAAGGAATAGTCAACATTTGTCTCATAGTGACTCTCATGGGCATCTTCAATGGAGAAGCCGCCCTTGGCCCATCTGGGGGAAGAGGCAACACGGAGGGTGGGGGTGAGGGTGGGGTTAGGGCTTGGAACCACTCACCACATCCAGGGGCACTGCCCTCCCCAGAGTGCCCCACCCCCTGCTCCTCACACCTGTAGCCCAGGATCTCAGGGTTGGCTGTGGCCTGGCACGTAAAGACAACACGCTCGCCCTCCTGCACCGTCTGTGGCTCGATGGACAGGGTCACCGTGGGAGGGTCTGCAAAACAGGGGACAGGAAGTCAGGGTCTTTTCTGTGCCGCCGGTTTCCTTTTCTCTCCCTGGCGCATCCGCTCGGGCACCGTGTGCAGATCTGGGAGTCTGCGTTGGCAGTGTGCCAGCTCCAATAAATAAACCTGTCTTCTCCATCTTCACCCACATCCCCCATGGACGCTGGGGGGCCATCTAGAGTGATGATCAAGGATGATACCAAAGGGACAGATTAGTCAATGGGTGTAAAGGCCAGTGGTGGCCACTAGATGTCAGTGTGGGCTCCCCTGGCTCATTAAAAGGGCTGGGGGCGGGGCATTTCTCCAACTGCTGCCCAGATCCAACCCTCCCCAGGGCAGAGGTCATTTATGGAGCACATACCAGCTGGCGGACTCCATGCTAGAAGCTCTGACACTCTATCTCATTTAATGCTCACCACCCTGAGAAGCAGGTACAGGCCCACATTCCTTATCTGAAACCATGTGTTTCAGAATTTGGAATTTTTCAAATCTTAGGAAGGTAATAGTGTGCCTGGGCTGTTGACCATGCCAGACCTCCAGCAGGGCCCGGGCCACACCCATGGCCAATACAGTAATCCCTCTGCAGCGAAACGTACGACTATTCAGATTAAGACTACGAAGAGCCTCAGTTCAGGTTTTGCTACCAAATCTCTGTTATTTTGGAATTTTGGCTAAGGAGTTGTAGGCCTGCATTTTATTTCCTGCAGGTATACAGAATTGGAAACTGAGGCACAGAGAGATTAAATCATTGCCCAAAGCCACACTCTGGTTCAGACCCGGGAAGGGCTTGACTCACAGATGCCTCTTCACCAGTCCTCAGCGCCCCTGGGTCAAACCAGGGAACCCTCACAGATGCAGACAGTGAGCCTGTCCTGGGCCCCTGGAGGATTCTGCTGACTTCTCCGAGGTACCCACATCTCCCGCCCCCGCCGCCCCCTGCTCTCCCCGGGCCCCCGCTCACGGTGCACATCAAGCTCAATGGAGGTCTCCCTGCCACTGGGGGCGGCCTCGTTCATGCTTCGGCAGGTGAAGACACGCCCGATGTCCAGGTCTGTGGGGTTGATGAGCAGCAGGCTGACGGTGGTCTCCCTCTTCCCGTCCTTCAGCAGCTCCTGGGGTGGGACCAGGTGGAAGGCAGGGTCAGGCTAAGAGCCCCTCCCTGCTCTCAGGATGGCGGACTCCGAGCCGGACTCCGCTGGAGGGCGCTTTAACCTAAAGCTCAGCCCCATCCCCAGACCCAACCTCTCCTTGGGTTTTGTTTTGTTTTTAATGAGTAGATTTTATTTTTCAGAAAAGTTTTAAGTTTAAAAAAGAAAAATTGAAAGAGAATGCCCATGTGCCCTCTTCCCTCACCCCCCCAACCCCCGGTTCCCTGTTATTAACATGACCCATTAGTGTGATCTGTGTATTACAACCAATATTGACAGGTTACTACTAACGCCTGTCCATAGTTTGCATCAGAGCTAATTCTGTGGGCTGCCAACTTTGCCTCATGGTTTTGGTTGAGCCTGATTCCTGGAATTCTCTGAGTCCCGCTCAAGTCCCTCCTCTTCTGCTGAGTCTTCCTCGGCCACCTCAGGCCCCAGGACTCTCCCAGCCTGCACCTGTGCCCCTCGCAGGCAGCCTGTCCTGCACGATGCTCTGGGCTCGTTCTGCCCTGCCCTTAGGCACTGGGCCTGGGTTTTTCTGAGTTGGGTCTCTCCTGCTGGTCCGTAAACTCCTTGAGGGCAGGGAATGAGCTCACAGGCCCTAAGTCTCATACTTATCATACCGACTCTGTGGATCAAAGGAGCCCGGGGGCTGTTCTCCTATTGCAGGCTGCCCAAGGCATGCCACGCTATGAGCCAAAGTTACACACATTTCCCCTGGGTGCAGACTGGCTCCCTGTGCTGCCTGGCAGAGCCAGTGCTTTAATGAATGTAAAAGAGGGGGGTGGACAACAAGTGCCACTAACAAACCAGCTTGTTTGGTTGCCAACATATTTCAAAACATGTAGCGCTGAAGGAGGAAAGGAACAGAGTCGTTGGTGGTGAGAGAGTCAAGCACCACGGAGGCCAAGTTCTTGTTTGTCAAATGGTGAAGCTGAGGCAAGGAGAAGTGAGCTGCCCAAGGCGTCAAGGGCGGAGCTCACCCAGCTTGCCCTGGGGCGGTCCTCACAGGCCCACCAGGGGAGGTGTCTGTGCAGCTCCTAGCCAAGGGCTGGGTACACATGTTTGCCCGCAGCTGGCAGAAGGAGCTCAGAACAGGAGATCCCCGTGAACTCTGCCAGGTGATCCTGGACAGGTCGCCTGCTGCCTTTCTCTGCCACAGGCTCATCTATGAAATGGACACAGCGATCCCTGCCTCCTCAGCCTATGAGCCAGCTAGAGGAGGGGAAGGAGGTGGAGGGCAGGGTGGGCAGAGCAGTCTGACCTAGGCACAAACCCCGCTCTGCCGCATGCCAGCTGTGTGACCTGGGGCAAGTCTCTCAACCTCTCTGATCATCAGCTTCCTTGCTGTGAGTTGGAAATAACACTAACTCAGGAAACTCCTGTGAGGGTCAGAATCACGGTCCACAGAGAGCTTCGCATCCACAGCGCCTGACACAGTGGGTGTTTCCTAACGTAGCTGTTCTGACTACTGTTCTTGGTCTCTGCTCAGGACTGAATGGCATCATGAACCTGGAAATTCATTTCTCTTCTCTGGGCCTCTTTTTCCCAATCATATAACAAGACGGTTGGTCCAGATGACCTTTAAGGCCCCTTCTCGATCTGCATCCGAGTCAGACTCAGGGAGGAAGGAAAGATGACCTGGGATGAGGCCCAGGAGGGGGTGGGGAGCATGCGGGGTCTCACCGTGCTGGCCACAGCGCCCTCCTGCTGCGTCCCATCCCGGAACCAGATGATGGTCGCCGCAGGCTTGGCGTTAAAGGCTCGGCACGTGAGGTTGTAGGGGATGCCTGCTTGCAGCAGCAGTACGGGGCCTCCATCAATCCTGGTGTCCTCAGGGGGGACTGTGGGAGAGAGCAGAGCAGTCGGTCCAGGGCCCAGCCCTGTCCTGATGGCCAAACCCCTGCCCTGGAGGCATCCCTCTCCTGGTATGTCCACCCTGGGGGAGGCAGTGCCACCCGCACCCCCTAAACGGAAGTCACTACATCTGTGCTTTCGTGTGGCTTCACCCAAGGCCCTCTGCTCGCAGCTTCCTGCCCTCCTGCAGCCATTCTTTTAACAGCCTGGACCGTATTCTGATACTATATCCCGCCATTCTCAAGGCTACAGACAGATGAGGGGAGTGGCCTCAAATTAAGAAAGTGCAGGGCTAGCTCAGGGTTTGAGTACAGCTCCTGGGGGCGGGGGGAAGGGCAGTGGCCTGGCACAGAAAGGTGCTTCTTCCGTCCATTCCCTGCTCTCCGCTCCTCTGTCCTGGGGCAGCCAGAGGAGCCAGTCTGCTACAGCCGGTCCCCAGTGGCTCTGACTCCCATCCCTACTGGCCCCGACCCATCCATCACAGCCGGCAGGTTCCTCTCTCCTCAGCGCAGCTAAGACCGGGCCCCTTCCTCGCTCACACACCTTCAGTGGTGACCATCCACAGTGGGCAGGAGGTCCCAGCACCTCAGCCTGCTGCTCAGGCCTCCTCCTGCACTTGCTCACCTCCTCATCTTTGCTTTTGCCCCTTTCCTCACAGCTTCTGTTGAAGTGCTACCCATCCTATTTGCATCCTTCTTGCTGCATAAGGCCTTCCCTGCCATGTCCCCCACCCCCAACACCTCCTCGGGGGTCCTGGCCAGTCACCCAGAGCTCCTCCCACCGTGCACCTAGTGTTTGGGTCACTGATACTGATTATCCACACCCCCACCCACCATAATCATTATTCCTGGAAAAGCAGAGACCGGTCTCACTAATATTTAGTCTCCAGTGCCCAGCACATGGCTGAAGCAGGCTCTCGCCAAGTGCTTCAGACATTGAGATGCGGGAAATCGGGGACCACCCCGCCCTGGTCCTGTCCCCATGGTTCTCTACCTGCTCAGGTGAACCGGACCACGAGCGCCCTGAGGGCAGGGACTGCTGCCTCTTTTATCTTAAAGCTCCAGTGTCCAGCCCAGAGCTGGGTGGTGAGCAGGTGCTCGCGGCTAGTCCCTGAATCACTGAGCAAGCGATTGATGAGAGACAGGCGGACCCATTCTGATTACAATCCTCTGGTCCACCTGGTGTTCACTGGACCAGAAATGCAAAGGGTTTTGCTGGTTGTTTGCTGGGAAAGACTCAGAGGGGCTGAGGCAGTGGTCGGCAAACCGCGGCTCTTTGGCCCCTTGAGTGTGGCTCTTCCGCAACGTACCGACTTCTGCTCATGGGCCACGAAGTTTCAATCGCCCTGTACATGTGCGCCCGCACGTGGTATTTTGTGGAAGATCCACACTCAAGGGACCAAAGAGCCGCATGTGGGTTGTTAGCATGAAGGGAAAATGAGGTCTGAGGTCAAGAATGTGCAGGCCCCTATGAACTCTAATGTCATCTACACTGAATGCTCATCAGGTGTCCAAGTGCCCTGTGCATACGCTGTCACTGAATCCTCACCACCACACGTATGTCATTGCTCCTTTCATGGTAAATGCCATGACTCCCAATTTACAGAGAAGGTGCTGAGGCTCAGGGAGGTGAGCGGATGTCTGAGCTCAAGGGCAGGGCTGGGAGGCGGACCCGGCCCGCTGACCCCGAGCCAGGCTCCTCATCGCTGCACTGGAGCTGTCACCGCTGGGAGGAATGAAGGAGCCGTAGGTCTGTAGGTTTAGACGATGTCCGTGTCTGTGTGGGGGCTTGGAAGGCAGCTGTTCAAAGTCTCGCTGCAGGAAGAGGGGAAGGCCACTCTGTGAAGAGGGCAGCCTGGCGTGGGGTTTGGAGGAGAGAGAGCCCTGAGGGGCATGGCTGCTGATGGGGGGCGGGGGTGGAGGCCAGCCCCATGCAGGGAGGCTGTTACCGGGCACGGGCCACAGTCCACACTTGACTCTGTCCTGCCCAGTGCCGGGGCCCCAGGTTGCCCTGAGCAAAAGCTGCGTGTCCGCAGGTAAGCGGGGAGGATGTGAGGAATGTCCCGCCTTCTCATTGCCTCCTGAGACCCGCAGGTGGCGCGGAGCTTGAGGATTCGAGAGAGACAAAGAGGAAACGGAAGCGGTCAGACTAACCTTTCCTCTTTGATGCCGGGGGGCCTTTTCCTGTTCCCCTCGCCTGCCCAAGTCGCCCAGATGGCTACAAAGGTCCACACCCTCAGCACCAACCCTGCCCGCCCAACAAGCCAGTCCGCTCTCCCACCATGTGGCTCTGCCTCACTGGCTTGCAAGCTTTTTAACAAGTTACTCCTCCCTGCAGGGCTCCCATTTATAGTCTCCTCTTCCAGTCAGCCTTCCTGGATTGAACCAAGCCTCTGGATACCATGATAAGCCCTGTTCCTGCAATGTCTAGGGCAGTGATGGAGAACCTATGACACGCGTGTCAGAGGTGACACGCGAGCTCATTTTTTTGGTTGATTTTTCTTTGTTAAATGGCATTTAAATATATAAAATAAATATCAAAAATATAAGTCTTTGTTTTACTATGGTTGCAAAGATCAAAAAATTTCTATATGTGACACGGCACCAGAGTTAAGTTAGGGTTTTTCAAAATGCTGACATGCCGAGCCCAAAAGGTTCGCCATCACTGGCCTAGGGGCTTAGATGGCCTTTCTCCATTTCTCTTTAGTCCTGTATACCATTGGGTAGGAAAGGGAAGGGAAGGGAAAGTAATCAGACCTTCTCATTCGGATGGGAGCTCTCCAGGGCACCTATTCTAGCACCTAAAACTGAGGCGTCCGAAAGGGAAGTAGAAGAAGCCCACGGTTCCCCTGGAATGCCTGCTCCATGGGGCTCACACTCTCTAACCAGGAATGGAAGATGACGTCTTATCTTCCCACGCCCACCCCTGGCGGTCAACTAACGCTTGCTCCCCAATCTCAGGCCTGCTCCTCGCAAATTCTTCCCATTCCGTCCTCACCAGAGAAGAAAAGCAAGTCATCCGCCAGCCTGCTGTCCTAGCCCTTCAGGGCCTTTGCACCCAACAGTATTGGCTGTGGGGTTCCTCCCGCGTTTGCCCAGACCCCACAGCTCACAGCTCCTTGCACAGATGGCAGCAAAGCCTTAGTTGCTAAGAAAAGGCCGACTTCATGATGCCACGTTACCGATAAGAAAACTACTGTCCTGAGGTCGTGACCTCTTCAGACGCTTGGTGCAAAAATGGCCCAGGTCTCCTGACTCCCAGTCCAGGGCTCTGCCTGCCACACTCAAAGGATTCGCAAGCCTCCCCCCAACCCCAGGAAAACACTTCCTTGTGTCCGAGCTCACTCATCTCATTACCTTGCTCCTTCCTCCTATCCCTCCTGGGGGCTGCCCCGACTTCAATGAATTCTGGTTAGAGGAAGAAAAAGAGAGGGAGCAGGGCAGATCAAACAGAGGCAGGAAAAAGGAAGGGACGGAGGTGATAACAAAGAGGAAGACAGAGGGTCACAGGCCGGTGGAGTCAGGCACAGACAGAAGCAGAAGAGAGGCAGAGGCCCAGGAAGAGCCACTGAGCTTGAGGGAACAGAAGGACGGTAGAGCCGGAGATGCTGCAAGAGAGGCTGGGCATGCCCTGGCCATTTTGGCTCAATGGATAGAGCATCGGCCTGCAGACTGAAGGTCTCAGGTTCGCTTTCGACCAAGGGCACATGCCTGGGTTGTGGGCTTGATCCCCAGTAGGGGGCATGCAGGAGGCAGTTGATCAGTGATTCTCTCTCATCATTGATGTTTCTATCTCTCTCCCTCTCCCTTCCTCTCTGAATTCAATAAAGAAACATTTTTTTTTTTAAAAAGAGAGGTGGGCAGTGGAGCAGGACACTCTGGCACTGTGTGGGGGAGAGGCCCATCATCATGGAAATGGCCCTGGTGCTGCCGCAGAGGAACATGGGCCCTGCGCCCTTGGGGGTGGCAGCTGAGAGACAGTGCCCCCTCCAGGGCCCTCCAGTCCTGCTCCCCTGCTCCCCGAGGAGGCCTCCAGGGGACTCTGAGGAGGAGGGTGAGTGCTGAGGGCGGAAAGGAGGCGGAGAAGGGGCGGAAGGGCTGAGTGCGGCTGGCTGGCTGGCGGAGAAGGAGCAAAGGGGGCAGGTTCTGGGGTCGGAGACAGCAGAGTGGGAGAGAATGGGAGAAGCTCCCTCTGCCGGGAGGGGCTGGGAGAACAGGCAGGTTCTCCACCAGCCCAGCCCTCTGTCCTGGCCCAGGGAGCCTGTGTCCTTGGACAGGCTGGGCACAGGATGCCAGACCTCACACCCCACATGTACCTCCAGTGGCTGCCCAAGCCCCCATTTCACTTTCTTCAACCTGGATCTGGCTCCAAAAGAAATTGAAAGAATGCCCTAGCTGGTGTTGCTCAGTGGATAGAGCGCCGGCCTGCGGACCGAAGGGTCCTGGATTCGATTCCAGTCAAGGGCACATGTCTGGTTGAGGGCTTGATCCCCAGTAGGGGGTGTGCAGAAGGCAGCCGATCAATGGTTCTCAGTCATCATTGATAACCCCCCACCTGCATCATTGATATTTCTCTCTCTCTCTCTCCCTCTCCCTTCCTTTCTGAAATCAATGAAAATATATTAATAAGAAGAAAAGAAGTTGAAAGAAGGAGGTGGGGGAAGGCTAAGGAGAGAGAGGGTCATGGGGCAGGCGTGAGGCCAGGAGCAGAGGGAGAAGGAAGATGGGAGGATGAAGGAGACACGGAGGGACTGCCAGGTGCCAAGAGAAAGAGGCAGAGGAGTGGCTGAGGGCACCGAGGCGGGGGGGGGGGGGGGGGGGGGCTATTACTGAGCACGGTGAGCTTGGCCCGCCGGGAGCGCAGTGCGGCCTCCGTGGCCTGGCATTCGTAAGAGGCATCGTCAGAGAGCTCAGCGTCTGTGATCTCCAGGTTGTACTGCCCGGCGTCCGCGGAGCCCACGACCCGGTACCGTGGCCAGGCTGCAAGGACAGAAAGGGGGAGCCCAGCGTGAGCCCGTCCCCACGTGGGAGCCAGCCCGAGTGACCCGCGCTTACCCTCTGCCCGCTCCTCATCCCCACACTAGGGTCCACACCCCACTCCCAGCCAGCGCCCCCTCCGCCCTCCCTGGGAACCCATCTCCTCGGATAGGGATGAGGTCCCAGATGTGGGTGCCTTGATGTCATAACCTCCCACAGTGAGGCTGGGGGCCATAACGCAGAGGAGGAGGACCAGGGTGGAGACGGGAGGTGGGGAGGGGGTGGAGGTGGGGGAGCAGAGCAAATCTTAAAGCAGTTTGCAGAAAATGGTCCCTCGTAATTAATAGGAAAGACAAAAAAATAAATGTGACAACAAAGAAGAGGAAGAGAGGGGGAGCCGTGGGACACTGCAGCACCGACACGAGCTCATGGGCCAGAGGAAGGCCAAGGAAGCCGAGGCCTCACCCTCACTTGCCCAGGGAGGGATGGTGGGGCAGGTCCTACCAGCTGCCTGCGGAGCCCGAAACCAGAGATCCTGTTCCCCCGAAGAAGCCATAGCTGTGGCCAGTGGACCTCAGAGAGTCGGGCTCTGTATTCAGTCTCCCTTGCTACTGCCCAGCCCCTCACTCTCCTGCCCGCCCCCCTCCAGTGCCCACATCAGCTCCCTCCCACTCTCTCCCTCTGTCTGCAGGCTATTGATTCTCCTCACTCCATATCCATTGATCTCTTTCTCTCTCTCTCCCAGTTTCTTTACCTTCCTATCATCAATAGATCCACCAGACCTATCTCTTCCCTTTAATCAGATTGCTTTATACAGACAAATCTCCCCCTCCCCCCTGCATTAATACATGACACCCACAGCAGGTCATCCCAACCCCTCGGACAATAATAAACAAATACAGCCCCTCCCAGACTTCGGTCCTTACCCGGCTTTGTGGTGTTTTCACAAAGTATATTCTCATTTGGTTCAAACTCACAAATGCACGTATAAGGCGACAGGCCTGGGACTCTTACACTATTTTATACTGTGGCAAGCCAGGGCCCAGAGAGGCGCAGTGACCTTCCTAAGGTCACCCAGCAGGTAGGTGGCAGAAGAGCACTAGCACCAGGGCCTGGACTCCTCATCTCCTCGGCCAGGCGGCCTCTCCAAAGAATCTCTACTTACTTTGGAATTCAGGAGGTTGGGTTTGGGTTTGTTTGTCTGTTTATTTATTTAACTTATTACCAACTCATATTTGCTTCAGCACTGGCTCCAGGGAACTTAATAAAAGCTTGTTGAATAAATAGATAAATAAGTGCTCAGGCTGATATTAAAGTGAGTTTTCGGCCTCTGAGCAGACATTGCTGGGCAGGGGCAGGGGCAGGGGCAGGGGCAGGGGCAGGGGCAGGGGCAGGGGCAGGGGCAGGAGCAGGGGCAGGGCAGGGGCAGGAGAGAGGCTGGAGCAAAGCCAGGGGCATAAACATGGCCTGTCTCTCTCCTGCTCTGTGGGGAACTCTCCCAGCACCTGCTGCTCCCCCTGCTGCTGCCTGAAGCAGCTCTCCTGGTTTCTGTCTGTCTGTCTGTCTGTCTGAACCCTTTTACATGAAGATCTCCTGGTTTCTTTGGTCTCTCGGGCTCCTCGTTGCCTTTCTTGAGCGAGTCCATAGGAAGAAACAAAGAAGAGCAGGGTTTGGGGAAAGCGGGGAGGAGAGGAGAGAGCCCGACCACACCCCCAAGAAGAGCCTGGAGCAGAGAGAAGGGAGGCTGAGGCCGGAGTCTATCCGGGGGACAGAGGGGCGCTGGGTCCACAGATGGGATCGTCAGGATGCCGGGCTAGCTGGGTGACCCCACTCACCTTTGAGTCCCTGGCCCATGCCCAGCGCCAGCCCGTCCTTGGTCCATTGCACGATCCCCGAGTAGTTGAGCAGCACGCAGGGGAGCACGGCCCGCTGTCCGGCCACCACGGTCTGATCGGCTGGCTCCTGGCTGAAGCGCGTCTGGGTCCCTGTCAAAGCCAAAGGCGGCACCGGGTAAGGAGATGCATGGGGAGAGGGGATCCACCCAGAGGCAGCCACTCCTGGCTCCTGCTCCCGCCCTGCAGGCTCCTGCTCCCACCCTGCATTGGCTGGAGAGAGAGGAGGCCTGGGCCTTGGACCCTCCCATCTGCCCACTTCAGCCCCAGCTCCTTCCCTGCAGGATGCCACACGCTCACCCTGATCCCTTCCTCCCTCCACGGCCCCCAGGAAGGGTTTCAGGAGCCGGAGTGCTCAGCACTCATAGGAAGTGGAACACTATTAGCAACGGCCTTGGCGACGGGGCGAATCTAACCCTCTCAGCTTACAGTTGAGGACACCGAGGCCCTAACCAAGGATACCCAGTGGGTTAAAGGCAGAGCTGGGGCTCGAACCGGAATCTCAGAACTCCGGGCCCCAGGCTCTTCCCTCCCACTGCCCCTCCCAGACACCCGTGTCAGTCAGCGCTGGCTCACAGTGCTTACTAAAGGCTTGTTGAATTAATGAATAAATAAGTACTCAGGCTGATATTATAACGGTCGTGGCCTCTGAGCAGACATCGCCTGGGCAGGAGGCAGAGAGACTGGAGCAAAGTAGGCGTAAAGCACATTCCAGTTCCAGGAAGCCCGTCACCAAGGCCGCCGGTGACGGTGCGGTCCCCTTCGTCCTGAGACATGAATGCACCATTGCACCCAACTTGCACACGCTCTGTGTGAGCCAATGTCAGGGAACACACATGTGCAACCATGTGGTCCCGCTCCCTATGAATGCATCCAGCAAGTGCTAAGGGCAGCTTCTATGGGGCAGGTGTGCCCACGTGTGCAGAGCTGCCGGAGTGGCTGTGTATCCAAATCCAAGTGCCTATGCCCCTGCTGCGTGGCACACGCCCTGTCCTGTGTGTGTGGTTCTGGCACATACTGTGGGAGCGGCATACGGCCACCCGCTGGCAGCCGGGCCCGGAGCACTTGATTAGAGAACCGCAGAGTAATTGCCTTTAATGCTGGAGCCTAAGTGGAGCAGGGAATTGGACGGCGGTTTCTTCTCCCCACCACTCCCTGCGCCCGCCTGCGGCCCGCGTGCCCAGCCCAGTGGTGGGCAGGCCCGGGCACGGCGCATGGCCTCAGGAGCAGAGCCTCAGCTTCCGCATAGGACTGTGGGAAAGAGGGCAGAGGTGGAGGGGCTGCGGGGCAGCAAGGGAGAGGTATGGGCATCCTCCCACGTCCCCAATTTGTCACACCACTGTAACCCAAATCAATTTTCCCCGGGACGCCTTCACCTTCTATTCCTCTGTAGCTCCCAAGTCTTTGCAGAGACCCCCATCGCAAATCCAACTGTTTCCAAACTAAGTTTTCCAAAATTTCTCTGATTCTCCATTATTTTGTGTATAAGGAAGCAAACAAAACCTGTCCCTCCCCCTTCCAAGACGTCCCTGTAAATTATGAGACAAGATCCTAGTTTGTCCTCCTCTTCTTTTTCCCCCCTCCTCCAGCTTCATTTCTCCCCTTCTTTCCAAAGCTGTTCCACTTCCAGGAAGTCCTCCAGGATTGGCCCCTTAGCTCCTTGGGCAAACAGCTTGTCCCATCACTTGGCCCTGCTATCACAGGCCTGTCCATGGGATTTCAGATAGTCTGTGCCCATGCTTTTGTTTGTCATGGGATAGAGGGCAGTGGGTGGGTGGGGTGTCTGCCCTAACTGTTTACCAGAATGAGAACCTCTGCTCAAGGCCGAGGGCTGTGATATCTTTCTCCTCTAAATTTCCCTGCACGTTTGACATCCAAATTGGTTGCTGCACATAAAGGGACCAAGAAGGGGGGGGCGGGCCAGGAGTGACTGATGGCCAGCTTATGATCTAATACGCAGAGGAAGCATCTTTTGGTTAAGTGTGCAAATCTAGCTCTTTGGGTCTGCAGGGGATCCGGGAGTTGGAAACAGGGCTCCTCCCCCACACCCGTGAGCAGCTCCCCAACTCTGCTGACCTGGCAGTCCACCCATGTCTTCTAAAGAGGCAAAGGATAGGCTCGCCCGTACTTCCAGGGGAGGGGGTGGGTCAGGTGAACAGCCAGCATTATTAATTCAGGCACTGTCCTCATTATTATTTAAATTTATTCATATCATTGCGCATTTCTCCAGTGTAGCTTCATGCTGCAAACTCTCCACACTCATGCTTCTCCTTCCACAGCCCCCAGAGCCCGAGTCAAGGGCTTGGGAGTGGGGCAGCCGGAGAGCCGTGGCTCGGAGATGGAATTGATATTCACAGCCTTCCTGCCTGGGGCTGGGACACCCAGGTTTCCTAGCGAAGTCTCCAAGGACAGCGAGAAGCTGGCTCCTTGTCCACTGAAGCAAGCCGGCAGCCGACCTGCAGTGGGACAGTCAGCAGAAGCCCTTGGGGTCAGAGTCGGAGGCGGAGCTCTTGCCGGAGGGCGGAGTCCGTGACCTTGGCCTGCCCCTCCCCTGTCTGGCCTGTGTGTGCTCACCTTTGCAATGATTCCAAAGACAAGTCTGGACTAAGAGCCGCAAAGCTTCCTTTTAAGAGCACAAGCTCAGGAGACAGACGGGCTCACGGAGTGCGTCTGCCCCTTCCTAGCTGTGTGACCTGGGCCAAGTCACTTACTCTCTAAGCCTCGTTGCCCTTGTTGGTGAATTGAGGGATGCAGACACCTCCTGGGGCGCTGTGAAGGCTGAATGGATGAGGCTATGACATGCCAGGGGCATTCCTGGCACGTGCCCACTAGTGGGAGCTATAACCCTTCTCTCTCCTGGGCGGGTAAGTAGAGGGACTGCTGGAACCCTGAACAGTGACATGACAAAGAAGTGGTGCGTCCTCCTGGGGACTTGGACGTAAAATGCCCTCTGGGTTTAGGCCTGGCGGAAGCAATCTAGGCTGGAGGCTGGAGAATGGAGGCAATGACCCTGAAGAGTCCAGAGGAGGGACATGGAGGGCCTAGGGCAGTGATGGCGAACCTTTTGAGCTCGGCGTATCAGCATTTTGAAAAACCCTAACTTAACGCTGGTGCCGTGTCACATATAGAAATGTTTTGATATCTGCAACCATAGTAAAACAAAGACTTATATTTTTGATATTTATTTTATATTTTTAAATGCCATTTAACAAAGAAAAATCAATCAAAAAAATGAGTTCACGTGTCACCTCTGACCCGCGTGTCATAGGTTCGCCATCACTGGTCTGGGGAATTTAACTCAATGGAAAGGCAGCCTAGATCCTGGCCCCAAACAGCGTCTGCAGCCAAGACAGAATGAGACAGAGTCCAGTGCCCACAGGTTGGTCCATGATGGGGAGAAAGCCCCAGGCCTGCATGACCAGGTCCCGCGCTCTCTCTTCTGCACACTCCACACCTTTGCCACCCCTCATGCCCTTGGCCAGGCCTTTCCCAGATGGGACACTGCTCTCTCTCCCCCGCCTGTGGGATTCAAATAGTTGCCTCTTCTGTGAAGCCCTCAGTCACTGGCCAGCGAGCCTTCAGGGCCCTTTGCATCACGTCTCGCCTCAGCTATCGAAGGTCCACACTGCACTGCTCACCCCCATCCCTGCCCTGCCCGAGGGGTGGGGACATCATGTCACTCGGAGCTCCAGCCCCATCACCCAGCAGGGCCTGGCTGCCAGTCACACAGCAGGTGTTGTGAGCAGGTCTGTTGATTGACAGAATGAGAGTGAGCACATGCCTGGGTCAATGGCCCCACCTGAGAAACACGGAAAGAAGGCAGAGCGCCCTGCCCAGGCGAGGCCACAGAGCCCAGCAGAGGCAGGGCAGCAGGAGGGTGGAGGGACAGGACAGGGTCCTCTGCAGGAGAGGAGCAGCATTGCGAGGCAGGGCTGGCAGTCCTAGGAGGCTCCCTGGAGGAGGGGGTAGCAGTAGACCAGGTGGAGGATACAGAACTCTGGAAGCTTCTGATGCAATCATGGGGTGGTCATGAGAGAATATGGGGATGGTGAGGAAAAGCCTAGAAAGTGAGCCTCAGACTCGGGCCATTGTCCAAACCTGTCCCCTGGGCCTCCCCATCTCCCCTTGATATTGTCCCCTCACCCAGGACACTTCTTCCATAGCACCCTCCCACCTCTTGTTCTCAACCCTGATCTTCCTGCGTGACACTGCCTTCCAGCTTTGTCCGCCAACCCCCTCTTCCATCCTCAGCACCGCACGGGGGGTCCAGAGGCAGTCCAGGAGCCCGTCTCAGAGCCAGGCCTGTCCCAGCCTCTATGTGTGAATACATCTCCTGTCCCCACTGGGCCTAGCCCCGGGGCTGGGACACAGCTTCCCTACCAAGGCCCGGGGAAGACAGGGGGCTTGAATCCCATTTTTGACTAAGAACTAAGTGACCTCTAAATCTATCACAGAGCAGCCAAAAATGCTCACAGATTCTCAGACATGCGTCGTATACTTCTTGTGAGCATACATGTATTATCACACACGAGTGCACATCCACCCCCCCCCCCACACACACACACACACTCTTCTGTACCTGTGCGTTTATGTACATGTCTCTGCACCCCCTGGGCATGTGTCCGTGCCCACGTCACGGTACATGTGCCCTGGCAGCCATGCTCCCAGAGCCTTGCCTGCCAGGTCTGCCAGGAACCAGAGAGGGAGTGGGGCCAAGCACACGAGAGGGAGGTGGAGGCCAGGCCCTGTCTCCCCAGATTTATCCTGTGAGCAGTAATGAACCCCTGGGCTGAAGCAGTCCCACTCTCTCCACCGGGATAGCTGCCCGTTCAAAGACAAGCCTTTGATTCACACTGACAGCTCTCAGATGGAACTAAATCTCTCCACACTCCACTCTTCCGCCCTCTCTGCTCTCCTCACTCGTCCCGCCCCCAGTGTTTCCCCCTCCAATCCCAGCCATTCCTGCCCTGTTCTATGAAAACTACAACAGCCAGAGCGGGCGCCTCCCATTGGATCCTCTCACCAAGGAAAGAGGATTGCCGTTCCCAGGGCTGGGCCAGCAGGGAAAGGAAAGAAGAGCGGAGGTCAGCACT